TATATATAAATTATTAATTAATTGAGTAATCCTAGATCAAAGTTTTGATTGATCGGCTATTCCTCGAATGGGATGAATTGGAAACACCAGAAGAATATGAAATTATGAAAAGATATGCTAAAAATGGCAAGAGATACTCTTTAGGATATTCACGTATGAATTAATTAAATCATTGTATGATTTTTATTTCCAAATATCGATCTCTATTATTTTCGAAAATAGCGACTTGAATTTATTTTTTAAATTTGCAATTCAGAATTGTTGGACGAAATATGTCTTTATTCGTGGATGCCCTATATTTTATATATTGTAATTTGTTGCAGTATATTGCTTCATATCCGCATTTCTATTCCTATGTATGTCACTTATACCGCCACTGCTAGATATCGTATTACCTCTCAATGAATCTCGTCCTATACTGCCAGTTCATCCAGGATATTATTTTGTTGATGAAAAAGAATATTTTTTCTATATTTTTTGGCACGCTGTCGTGGTCTGGGAAATAGCAGTGACCGGAATAGTGGCTCACGATTGTATGCTTCTAACTTATATAGAACACGTCTGCAGTATTTTCGCCCTAGGCGGGTAAAAACAATTGACATAATATTAGTGAAATTCATATGCATATGATATATTGTGAATATATTTGCAGATTTCGATTTGAACGATTGATGTATAAATATAATGAATATGAAAATGATACCATAACAGTTTTACATTCTCATACAAGTGACATGTTTCGCAAGCGAATTGCATTTTCCGTATATACACATCGAAAGGCTTTAAAGTAAGTAATTTGGCAATGAAGAGAAAGAGAGAGAAGAGGAAAAGGAGAGAAAGTTTGATATTATTATTCTCTCATTTTTATCGTAGATTTGCTCAACTGATCGAAGATACATTTTCGATAACGTTGGCTCTACAAATAGCATTAAATACAGTAATGATTAGCATTACCTTGTTACAAGTACGTATTTATTTATTATCTCAAGATTCTATTCGACATGTTCTTTATACTGCAGTTATATAAAATCAGATATATTGCATAAAATTGCGAGAAAATAAATGCAAAGGATTAAAGTGTTATACTTTTCATACTGCATGGAGATTACGCAGCACAATGCCAGCGTTTTTATAGTGATGAGATACGTAGTATATGTTCTCAGTCAACTGATTCATCTATTCTGCCTCAGTTTCGAGGGACAAAAGTTAATAGATCACAGTCTTCAAACGCGCGATAAAATGTAAGAAAAATTTTTTTGGAAAATATAACATACCCTATTACAGAATTTAATTAGCACACGTGTATTACTGATGACAGTGAATTAATTAAGTATATATAATGCAGCTACAATAGTCTTTGGTATACAACAACTCCCAAATCACAAAGGATGCTTTTGTTTGTCATGCAAAAGGCCCTTCATCCTGTTTTCTTGAGCGCCTGCAAGATTTACATTTTCTCAAGGGAGAATTTTACCATGGTAAAAATAAAGTGATATCTGCACAAACGCGATATGTATATTATATAATTGTGACACAAAATGATTTTAATAATACGACTTGAATCTAATGTTTTTAAGGTCGTGCAAACTTCCATGTCATACTTTACGGTACTCGCGTCTCTGGAATAATTACTGGAACAATGGCCACTGTCTACTATTGAGAGTACAAATTAGTTCGGTCCGTTTTCCTAAAGATGACTCCAGCTGTTGTGAATGGTTCATAGTGACAGCTGATTTTGGCGGTTTTAGAGAAGTTAAACATCTGCTAATAATATTTAGTTTATATCACTTTGAGTTTCATAGAAAAACCTTGATTTTTACTGTGTTTGAAATGTCGAATTTTGTGTTAACCAAGCAGTATTTGCGGGAGGTTTTGATTTTCTACTTTAATTGAAAGAAAAGTGCGGCTGAAGCTCATCGAATGCTTGTCGAAGTTTATGGTGACACTGTTCCAACTGATAAATCATGCAGGTAATGATTTTGACGTTTCAAAGATAGAGATTTCAGCATTGAAGACAAGCCTCGCTCTAGAGAGCAAAAAAATTCGAAGACAAAGAATTAGAGGCATTACTCGAAGAAGATCAAAGTCAAACGCAAGAGAAGCTTGCAGAATCATTGGGGGTCAACAAGCCAATGTATGATTGAGAGCCATGGGATTCAAAAACAAAGAAATTGAGTGCCTTATGAATTGAAACCGAGAGACGTTGAAAGGCGATTTTTCACTTGCGAATAACTGATTCAAAGACAACAGAGAAAAGGTTTTTTGCATCGGATTTAACTGGAGATGAAAAGTGAATATTCTATGACAACTCCAAGAAGAAAAAAATACTACGCTAAATCCGGTCAATCGTTGCCATCGACATCAACACTACGACCGAACATTCATGGTTTGAAGATCATGCTCTGATAGGACCAAAAGGATCTTGTTTACTATGAACTGCTGAAACCTGGCGATTCCATAACGAGCGATCAGTATCGGCTACAATTGATTCGTTTGAGCCGTGCATTGCAGGAAAAACGGCCAGAATACGAGCAAAACATGATAAAGTTATTCTTCTTCACGACAACGCTCCGCCTCATATCGCTAAAGTCGTAAAAAAATATTTGGAAACGCTCAAATGAGATGTTTTACCGCACCCGCCGTATTCTCCGGACATTGGTCCTTCTGATTACGGTTGTTCCGAAGGATGCAGCAAGTCACCGGTTCACTTCTTTCGCAAAAATCAAAAATTGGCTCCAAAATTGGATCGCCTCCAAAGACGAGTCATTTTTTCGAGATGGAATTCGAAAATTGCCTGAGAGATGGGAAAAAGTAGTAGGCAACGATGGACAATACTTTAATTGATCTGTTCATTCATTTTGTTTTGAAATAAATGCACAAAAAACGGACCAAACTAATTTGTAACTCCCAATAATTAGTTTCTTGCATCTAGTGACGAAGTTGCATCTGTAATAATTGTGTACATGAACACATTTATCAATATGCAAATAATACTGCAAGTAATATAATAATGATCACATATATATCTCAATATCTTGTACTTGCATATAATGTGTATGTATATAAATAGATTCATTGCTTTCTTTCAGATAGCAATACCATAATATGTATATAATCCATATATCTTACAAGTCTTGTACAATATTCTTTATTATCAAGGGATGAAAATTTGAGCAAAATAAAAAATTTGGATGTGATTATAAGAAAATAATGTTATAAAAGACAATTATATGTATATCGCAGAAAGTTAAAAGAATATTATTGAAATGTTGCAATGTTAAAGTATTATATTAATATTTTATCAATGTTGTATCTATATTCTTTTATATTGATTAATGTTGCTGCAACATCGAAATAACATTGAATCAATTACACACACACACACATACACACACACACACATACACACACCCCACACACACACCCCACACACACACACACACACACACACACACACACACACACACACACACACACACACACACA